CGCGCCAGCAACTACCTGCAGAGCCACGTCCGCGGGCGGGCGCTAGGGGCGAGGTTACGGGGCGAGCGCCCGACGGTCGAGAGAGCCTTCGAGGATGCCGCGGAGAGGGGCCACCGGGGCCCCAGCAGCGAGGCGAGCTAGCTGCGCGACGAGCTCAATTGCGTAACGGGCCGAGCCCCAGAGTGGGGGGCTGACGCGGGCCCCTTTCAGCGGTCGGGCGACGGGCGTCGCGGGCACGGCAACTACACCTTCTGGGATGGGCCTCAGCGAGCGCGCTGGAAGTTCTGGGGCCACAGGGATCGCCTGGAGCCGGGGCCTAGCATAGCGGCCACGCTGAGGCTCGGGGGCTCGGGGGGGGGGGGGCAGAGGAGCGGCAGTGCTTACTGCTGCGCGTGGCGGCCGGCCTCCTCGCGTCGCGGGCGCGCGCGGGCGACCAACCTGACGTGCGAGATGTGCGGGAGATGGCCGCTAAACTACAGACCGAGCTCTGGGGGGGCTCGCGCGTCGCGAGGCGCGCCCTGGGAGACGCCCCCCCCCTGGATCACAGCGGTGGAGGCCGACGCGCGCTCGCACCTGCGCGACGCACTTCACCCACACCGCGACAAGGACTACCGATGTCTCGTGGCACGCCTTCTCCGGGAGCTTCAGGGCGTTACCCTGCAGGTCATCGCGTCAGTGGGGCCGGCCAGCTATGCGTGGATCACTTGCTGGGGACTGACCCAGGGGCTGAGGAGACAGCGGCCCCCTTCTAATCTGGAACGGCCACGTGCGCATACTGGACCCAGGTGATGGGCCATCCGCGGCCGAGCTGGGTCAGCGTTGGGCCCGCGAGGGCCACCTGGCCCGGGAGCTCACCAGCTCGGGGCGGGAGGAGATGCTCGACGAAGGGCCCGACGCCGATCCAACGGTGCCGGGGAAGCTCCCTCTTGCGCTCACTGCAAGAAGGCGGAGGGGCGGGTTGGGGAGGTCCGCACCGCGGGCTCCAGCATCGTTCGGCGGGCGCCCGGCCAACGTCCAGGAGAAGCTCCTAGCCGCCGATGCCAAGCCGCTCCGGCTCGACCCGATATTTGCCCATGGGATCATCGGGCAAGAGTCTATGCAAGGGCCGCGGGTTGGTCCAACGCATTGAAGGCCGAGGGTTTCCAAGTCTTGGAGCCCATCGAGTACTACTAGCACACATTGCAAGCGAAGGGCCCCCGCCCCGAGCACGACGTGCTAGATCCAGCCGTTGAGGCGAGGGCCCGCGAGGCGGCGCGGGCCCCGCCGGGCCCCGCCGGGCCCCGATACCGCCAATGCGCGGTGCTGGGGCGTGCCCCGAAGGTCCTATTCGGGTCGACCCAGGGCTGATGGCGCGCCCAGGTCAGGGCACTCGGCGGGAATGCTCGCACGCAGCTCACGCGCGCGATCTGCGAGACCTTTTTCGATGAGGGAAAGGAGTTCCTCATCGAGTCCTCGCGGCCATCCGGCCCCGATTCACATGGGCCCCTGGGGAAAGGGGCCCTCGGACGACCCCCCCCGGCGCTACATGAAGGGAAGCCGGTGGACGGCCACCCCCCCCCGCCTCGCACGCACGCCCCCCTGCCGGCACGTCGGCGCCCGCGGGGCCGCGAGCACGTGGAACTCAAGGGCGCGGTGCCCAGGGCGGGTACCAAGCGGACTGAGGAGGCCAAGATCTGGGCGCCTCGATTGCGCGCAGCCTGGGCCAAGGCTTTCAAGGGCGCCTACCAACGCTGGATCGCTGAAAAGGCAGTTAAAGCCTTTTGTGGGATGGCCGAGGGGCGCCCCCACAGCAGAAATCGTCGGGAGGTCGACAAGACGTCGATTTCGCTGGGATGGAGAGGCTCGGCTCTAAATGCCGACGGCCATCGCCAGCCATATGCGACGGGCGCAGAATGAGTGGCCCAGCCGAAAGGCGAAGGCACCGGGGACGCCCCCGAAAGAGAGGAAGGCCGAGATGGCCTGCGAGGACCCGGAAGCGGATCTGAGCGACAGCTTCGACGGGCGCAGCCCAGCCGAGTTGGCAACAGTCTACCTCATTTTCTGCACCGCCCATCCAGAGTTCGACGCGAAGGCGATGGCCACCCTGGTGGAGCTGGGGGACCGCCTGGTGCGGAGCGCGGGCTGATTGGAAGAGGCGGCTACGCTACTCCGGAAAACGCGGCATGACCGCCTGGGCAACCCGCTCCAGGATGCGATAAGCGAGCGGGTGCAGGCACGCCTGGGGCGCGAGCACTTTGAGTACGTGCGCGAGCTAACCGAGGTCGGGGCGCCCGCGAGGCGTGGATCGCAGCGAGTACAGGAGAGGGCACAACCGCACCCGAGCGCGCGGGCCCACCTCCAGGAAGCTTACGAGAAAGTTTGGAAGGACGTGGCCTACGGCATCGCACTGGTCACGTCACAGCGGTCGGAGGGCTTCCTGACGGAGTTGGTGGAAGCACCACTTGGCAGTGTGCTTCAGCAGCTACCTGACCGCACCTTATCCACGGAAGGGCGCATGATCCACGCGACGCCGTCCGCCAACGCAGCCACCAGCAAGCGGGGCCACCCCCCTGCTGTCCAGCCCCAGCATTGGCAGGTGGCTAAGCATGCCATCTGGCACAGACCGCGGAATCCGGGGATGCCTTAAGCAAAGCGGGATTTCTCTCGGGCCTCCAAGTAAATTCAGATTCTGCCGGCCGACGCCAGCGATTTCGGCACTTCCCTCCCAAGCGCACACGCGGGGCTCGAGGGGAACGTGCGGATTATCTCCCTGGCCATGGTGTTCGGGTGGACGGGGGCCCCAGGGAACTATATGATGTTGGCCATGGCAGCCAGAGAGTACCACCAGAGCCACGAGCCGGCGCGCCCGGAATGGCACGAAGTTAAGTCATGTTTCTGCTAAGTGCGCTCCGGACGCGCTTGATCCTGCTGGGGCCTTCGGTGGAGCTCCCTTGGGGCCACGAAACGTGTAAGGGGCGTGCCAAAGTGAGGGGGGGGGGATGGGAGGAGGGACGGGGGGGGAGAGGAGGAGGAAAGGAGAGGAACGCGGGGACAGTCTTTTCAAAACGGGGAGTGACCCAATACCGCAGGATGGTTGGGAAAAACCCGGACCGCCAGGTGCAATAACAACAGCCAGAAGACTCAAACAAAAAATCCCGACCAGCAGGAATTATGCGGGCAAAAAACCCACCTATACGCAATTGCGAGTATCGCCGTTGTGGGCATCGCCTTCGGTACGCCTTCGGTAAATCTCCTCATGGGACCACGAAGTGCGTAAAGGGTGTACCGAATGGGGCGGGGCAAGCATGCGGGCGATGTTACTGAAGCCTCAGGTATACCCCCCATGTGAGCTGGGGCCTTCAGTGGAGTTCCCTCCGGTGCCACGAAACGCTGTGCTGGGCGGGCAGACGCATGCGAACGTCGCCACTGGGGCCTTCGGTGGAGCTCCCTATGGGGCCACCAAACGCTGCACCCAGTGGGGCGGGACGCATGCGAACGTCGCCGCGAGTGCCTTCCGAGGGGCTTCATATGGGGCCACGACACGCTGTATTGGGTGGGGGCGGACGCATGCGACTGTCGCCACTGAGGCTTTATGTGGAGCTCCCGATGGGGCCACGCAACGTGTGAGTGGTGTGCCATGTCGGGTGGCGGGGACGCATGCGAACACCCCAATTGGGTCATGTATTGATGATGACGACGACGACGACGACGACGAAGATGATGATGATGATGATGATGATGACGATGATGATGATTATGATGATGATGATGATGATGATGATGATGATGATGGTGATGATGATGATGATGATGATGATGATCGTGATGGTGATGGATGGTGATGGTGATCGTGATCGCAATCGTGATCGTGATGATGATGGTGATGGTGATGGTGGTCGCGATCGTGATGGTGATGGGATGGTGATGGCCATGGCCATAGCCATTGCCATGGCCATGGTCATGGTCATGGTAGTAATGGCGGTGGTGATGATGGTGTTGATGGTGGCGATAGTAATGATGGTGTTGATGGTGGTGATGGTGATGATGATGGTGATCATGGTCATGGTGATGATGATGTAGAAAACAGCATGTTTGAAGGGACAACGGAGCGAGCGAAGCAGTTAGCAGGGTGGTTGGGTGGGTGTGGATCCGTGGGCATTTTGCCTTGAGCCCACAGTGATCAGCACTGCCGCATGCGGGGGGACAGGGGGTAGGACCTTGCCCTCGTCTCGCTCTCCTCGCCGGCGGCAGCGCTGGCTACATCTGCTACTTCCTGGACAAGCACCAGGTCTTCGCCATCAGAGGACCCGCTGAGGGTCGCGCCACTGTTGGCCCACGCGGCCGGCGCGGGACCCCTTAGTTGGGGGTGGGCCGCAGAGGCCGGCTCAGGATCCCCATAGCCGCTGAGGCTGGGGCTGGGCGGGGGGGGTGTCTAGGTCCGCTGAGGGCCACGCTCAGGATCCCTACAGCCGCTGAGGCTGGGGCTGAGTTACGGGGTTAACGGGCCCGCTGAGGGCCAACCCCCCAGCTATAGGACCCAGACTCTGGATGCCTTCGGGCCGGAGTGCTGGCAGGCTTAGGGGGGGAAGCGAGATTGGGCGCCTTTGGGCGGATCCCGATCTGATCCCAACATTTGGGTAAGAATCAAGCCACGTGATCAGGTCGGTTGGCATGGTTTCGTGCACCACCCCACCCTCACCTTGCTGTGGGGGGGGGGGCGGTGCACGAGCCGTGTTGACCGACACATGTGATTACTGGTAGTTTGGTTCTTTCCTTGAGGACTTTCGACAACTACCTGGACTTAGGGGGGTGGTTGGGCGCCAATCGGCGGATCCCGATCCAAGCCCCAAATGGGGACAAAACGAACTACTTGGACCTGATCGGCCAACATGGTTTTGAGCACCACCCCCTCTGCCTCGTGGCTGCGCCCCGGGGTGGTGGTGCTGGAACCGTGCTGGTTGGTCTGGTGGTCCCTCGTAGTTTGGTTCGTCCCTTGAGGACTCTACGGCTTCTCGCACGAGATGGTGTCCCTGGGCGTGCTGCCGTCGGTCGAGGCCATGGAGCAGTGGACCGAGATTGAGGCGGCGCGGGCTTGGGCAGGGCTGGAGCTGGGCGCACTCAAGAGCGTCTTGACGAAGCTCGGGGACCCTGACCTCACCTCGATGCCAATCTTGGCGTCGCTTCCGCCGTCAGCGGTGCGGTCTGCCGTCGCGAAGGCCCGCGTCGACAGGGAGGGCAGGGAGGCTGGCGAACGCCTCACGGCCATCCAGAAGGGCCGCCTCAACCTCCTCTACAACGCCCTCCGCCGGAAGTTTGGGTTGCACCTTGAGCCGGTCGATCAAGAGCCGCCTCAACCGCAGGCGGCGGCAGCGGCAACCCCGGGTTCGGCGGCGGCGCCGCACGCCGCTAATTTGGTGAACCTGTCCGCGGTCCTCGACCAGGGCCTGAAGGGCGAGGTGGAGCTTTACAGCCACGCCCAACTACAGAAGATCCGGAACAATTACATAGTCTTGATGGGGGATGAGCCCATGGGTCGCCACAACTACACCGACGAGCAGATATCGGCGTTGGGCCGGCGGCTGGAGGCCGGCTTCGTGCCGTTTGCGGACTTCGGCGTGTGGGGGCCGAACGGCAACCGCTTCCAGCGCCACATGAAATTCAAGGCGAGCTTCATGGACGCCTCTGGCCAGTGGCGGACGCAGGAAATCCCCGGGCCAGAATCCCTGGAGATCTGGGAGGACTCGTACGAGGTCTACAAGGCAGCTGTTCTCTCATTGGGGGCCTTCCAGCAGGCCACTTTGACTTTGTACGCGGCTGAGTTCCGCCAGCGCGTCCTCGACAATCCGGGGTGCTGGCACTTGACACTGGCTGCGGATTTTCTGGCGCGGTCGGAGCAGCTTGCGAACGAGCGCCGGCGACTGGAGCGTTTCCACGAGAAGTCGCCCACCTTGTCCAGTTGGAACCCCAAGATGCCATGGGACGCTGCGCTGAGGGCTGTGTCCCAGGACAAAACCTTTTGGTACAAGCATTTGGAGAAGCCATGCGACAAGGCTGCCCGGGACGGTTCGGCAACGGTGCCCGTTCAGCGGACGGCCTACACCCAGGTGCCGCCCTTCACGGCGGCGCCGCAGCAGGGCAGCAACAAGAAGAAGGGCGGCGGCAGGGGTAAAGCCAACGACAGGAAGGACACCAAGGGCATTGATCCACGTGGCAAGGGACCCAATGCTCAACGAGCCGATGGGCGCTATTACCGGTCAGTGGACAATGTGGAAATATGCTACGCTTGGGCCCAGCACGAGGAGGGTTGCTCCAGCAAGGCGTGCCCACAGGGGCGGGCGCACGCGTGCGAGTTCTGCCGCACGCCCCACCGCACCATCCGCTGTGAGAAGCATCCGGGGTGGACGCCGCCGGCGGCCAGCCGGGGGGCCAAGAGGCGCAAGAAGTGAGATGGTTCGGCGCCCGCGCCGGGCCCCGCTCCGGAGGGGCTTGCGCCGGGGCCCCGGGCGCCCGAAACGGCGCCCACAGTACTTTTACAAGCACGGCCACTTCAAGATGATGATTCGGGCTCACGCGCCCCATCTGCGCGCGTGACGCCTGGCGGAGGCTCGCCGTTCGCAGCCGCGCCCGGCGGACAGCGCAGACTGGCGCATCGAGCTCGTTGGGGCGCGCGGGTGAGTGCCCGCACCCGGGGGCGATCCAGGGCCCCGAGCACCGGTTCGAGCCGTTCGCGGAGGCGGCCTCCGGGGCCGCGCGAGAGGCCCAAGTTCCTGGAGCTCGTTGGGCGCGGCGGCGGGCTCACGGCGGCTGTGGCGCGGCTGCATCTTGATCACTTCACGGCGCAGTGCCTCGAGGCCGCGGCGGGCCTCCGCGACCAGGTTCTGGACCTTCTGAATCACGATCATTATCATCGGGTTCTCAGCCTGATTCGGCAGCGGCGAGTGCGATGGCTCCATGTGGCACCGCGCTGCGCGGATTTCTCGAAGGCGCGGAGAACCGGCAGGCGCGCCCGCCCCGCCAGCGGCACCCCAAAGCCGCAGCACGTGCTCGACAGCAACACCTTGGTTGCCAGGGCGGCGAGGCTGTGTCGTGCCCAGGCCAAGGCTGGCGGGTGGTTCTCCTTTGAGAATCCAGAAGCCTCGTGCGCTTGGCAGTGCGGGCCCGTCGCCTCCCTGCTGCGCATTGCCGGTGCCGTGCGGGTGGTGTGCGACCAGTGCATGTTCGGCTGCCCGTACAGGAAGCCGACGGGCTGGCTGACGAACGCCCCCTTCCTTGGCGTTCTCGCCGAGAGGTGCCCGGGGCCCCCGGTGCACGTGCACCCCAGCCTCGGCGGGAGGTGCATTGGGCCTGCGGGCGGATCCGCGTGGAAGACTCAACTGGCGCCGTCTTATCCGGAAGGGCTCTGCAGCGCACTGGCATTTGCGTACAGGGCCGAACTCAGCAAGCAGCCGGACCTGGCCGCGAAGCAGCCCACCACCTACGACGTCTTCGCTGGGCAGGAGGACGCCGCGCAGCAGGAGACAGCCAGACAGCGGCGGGAGAGAGGCATCTTCGTGCATCGGCGGCCTCCGCAACCCGCGCAGAGGCGTGGGGAAGCTGCCCGGCTGGGCGGCGCTCGGCGCTCAGATCGCCGCTGCCCTCGAAGACGTCGCCGGCGGATTGTGCGACGCCGTCGACAGGGTGGTCGAGGAGCTGGGCCGCCCAGAGGCGACAGGCCTCGCTCCTGCTGCCGCGCGGAGCGGGCAGGCGGCCCTTGCGGCCCGCCTGGGGGTGAGGCACCACGACCGCGAGGGCCCCCAGGGAGAGATGCTGGAGGACATTCTGGCTGCGGCGGGGGATCCGGAGACGCAGGTTCCTCAGTGGCTGCAGCGCTACGCCCCGCTCGGGATCGAGGTGCCGATTCTGCCCTCCGGCGTTTTCCCGGAGACCGAGCCCACCTCTGTGGGGCCGGCCAGGGAGAAGCTCGACGCCCTCCTCCAGCACTGCGTGGACCGGGGCGACCCGGTAAACTACAGAAGCTACGAGGAGAACAGGGAGGAGGCCGACGCCGCGTTCCAGAAGGAGCTGGACAAAGGGTACGCCACGTGGCGCCAAGACCGGGGCGCCTTGGAGGCGATTCACGGCCCGCTCACCTTGCCCCGCGTCGGCGCCGTCATCACCGCGAAGGCCGGGGCAAGAAAGTGCCGTCTGATCCACGACCTGAGGCGGAGCAGAGTCAATTCGAAGATCCTTCTCCGCGAGCGCTTGGTTCTGCCACGGCTCCACGACGTCATTCAGGATACCTTGGACACGTTCGCGCGCGTCCAGGACCCCCACCAGGTGTACTACTTGGTCGCTGATTTTCAAGACGCTTTCAAGCTCTTGAGAACGGACCCAAGGGAAAATAAGCACTTGGCAGGCTACGCTTGCGGGGGGTATTTTGTGTATGACACGGTGTTCTTTGGAGTTGGCACTGGGCCGCTGGTCTGGGGCCGCGTCGCGGCAGCACTGATGCGCCTCACGCAGGCGACGCTCAGCGAGAAGAAGGGCCGCATTCAGTGTTTTGTGGACGACTCTATATTGACTATGTCTGGCTCGCTGCGCACAGTGCGGAGAGAATTCGCTAAGATACTTGTGCTGTGGCAGCCCCTCGGCTTCGGGGTCTCCTGGAAGAAGGTCAGCTTTGGCACTTCAGTTTCGTGGATTGGCGCCGCGATCCAGGCCGACACGGCCGTGCGCCGCGTGAGCGTGTCGCTACCTGAGGAGAAGTTGGAGCTGGTCAGGGGCGCGTGCACCGACCTGCTGGAGGAGCGGAAGCCAGTGCCCCCCGTCGCCAGGGTGAGGCAGCTGGCCGGCCGCGGAGGCTGGATCGGCGGCCTGCTTCCCCAGGTCCGACCGCTTGTCCGGCATCTCTGGGGAGCTCTATCCAAGGCTCGGAAGGGCAACCCGCCCGTCCTCTTCCGCAAGCAGGTGGAGCCGGCATTGCGATGGCTGGTCGCCTTCGCAACGGACGCGCCTTTACATCTGACGCGCCATGTTTACCTCGTCGACAGACTCCACGACGGCTTGTACGTTGAAACTGACGCTTCGCCTTGGGGCGGCGGCGGGTGCTGCTGGGCATCGCCGGCGGCCCGCCGAGCTGGCGAAGCGCCGCGCGCGTACTTTGCTGTGACATGGGACCACACGCACGAGGAGCTCCTGCACGCGCAGGTCGGCAGCCCGGCTGGCCGGGCGTCGCGGGAAGCATTTGCGATGCTCCTCGCAGCAAAGCTGTGGATCTCACCAGAGGTCCTGGGGCGCATCACCTTTGCGGGTGACGCGCAAGGCGTCCTGGCAGCACTGGTCCAGCTACGTGGAGATTCGGCCATCATGATCGATGTGGCCAAGGAGCTCGCCCTCCACCTGGCCCCCTTGGGCCATGCTCTCGAGGGCCTCCACATCTGGGCGGAGCAGAACAAGCTCGCGGACGCGCTGAGCCGGGTCTCTTGCGACGGCCACTCCCCCCGCTTTCTCGCCGGGGCGGAGCAGGCCACGGTCCCGCAGGTGGAGGACCTGGGTCTGCGAGTGCTGCAGACCAAGATTTCAGGCCGAGGGCGCGCCTGTACGCACTGTGTCAGCCGCTGAGCGTCCATGACGCGCTGCGTCAGCGCTGCTGAGCGTACTGTGTGTCATTCATTGGGAGGAAAATATGCCCGCACATGTGTCCACTTGCACGTCCTCTCGCGTGCGTGGTGTGTGTGTGGTGTTTCAAAAGCGCCCCGCCGAGAGCTTCCGGGGTTGCGCCCGAGTCTGGGGCAGACGCCCTCCCTGGAGGTTCGCGGTCTGAACCTGGGCGCGGGCCCCGCGCTCGTGCGAAGCTCCTGGGGTCGAAACTGTGCACGCATACTTGTGTGTACATTCGTTTTAGGAATAACTGCCCAAATTTCCGCCCCTGGGGAGGGGCGGAAATTGGGGCGGTTATTCGTCAGGCGAATTCGCACGTGGTGCGATTTGCTTTCTCCGAGAAGCATGCGCAAGTGCGTTGTGGCGCAGGACGAGGAGCGGGCGGACCAACTTCGCCACCCCTTCTCTCCTCCTCTCCTGCTGCTGCTTCCTCCCCCCTTTCCTCTTCCCTCCCTTCCCTCCCCTCCGTCCTCCCTCCTCTCCCCTCCTTTGCCCTCCGGGCCCCCCCTCTTCTGGCCCCCCCCGCTGCGCCGCCCCCGCGACGCGGGCCGGCCGTCTTGGCGTCGCGGTTTCCGACCGTCGGCTCCGGTGGCGGGTGGGTGGGGGGGCGGATGGCGCGGAAGAGTCGGAGGAGTTGTTTTGTGTTCCTTTTCAGGTGTTCCTGGCAGGACATATTTCGTGCTGTTCGGTTCAAGGCTCGAGGGCGCGCCCTTGGCGGTCTTCGACGCGGATGGCGCGCTGGCCGGGCGGCTCCCTGGATGCCAAGGCGGCGGCGCCCAGGGCGACGGCGCCGCCGGCGCAGCCCGCCACGTCATGGGACGCCCCTCTCCCCGCCCCCTCCGCCAGCGCTGGCCGCAGTGCGGAGGTGCGGCAAGGTGTCCACCCCAGGCGGAGGGCGCCGGAGCCTGCGCTGCATGGCTTGTCGCTGGCGACTGCGGAGCAGGGCATGGCGTTGATCGATTCTGGACGTGGGCGTGGAAGTATCCCTGGACGCAGTTCGACTTTTGGAGTTTGCCCGAGTGCGAGCGCGGTCACGTCCCCAGCCGGCCCGGTGGAGGGGGCATCTTCTCAGGCAGTACGGCCGCCAGCTCATGACGAAGTACTTGTGCCCTCGGCATCTTCCGGGAGTTGCGGGCCGCCGAGGCCGGGGGCGCCGTGCAGGAGGCCGTGTACCAGGGGCCCCCCTCAGAAAGTTATGGCTTTGGAGCGCCAGCCTGCCGATCTGCATTCCGCGATCTCGGCTTACGAGGGGGGCAAGTACGCGGATTCGACGACAGCTTCGAGAGAGGCTCGTCTTCGGTGGTGGCGGAGGCGCGCATGGGCCAAGGAGGTGGAGCCGTACCCGCTCTCTGTTGCGTTATTGGGGTACGCCGCAGCGCTTTTGAAGGCCGCTGGCTACCGCAGCGCGGTCACGTACCTTCAGACGATGAAGCAGGAACACATTCGCTTGGGGCATGCGTGGACGGACCAACTCAGCTTGGAAATGGCCGCTGCCAAACGCAGTTGTAAACGGGGCTTGGGGCCGCCCAGACAAGCTCCCTTCGTGGGCCTCGACAAGGTCGCGGCGCCGGAGACAGCGGTGGCCGTGCCATGTGGCCCTCAAGGCTCGGAGGAACCTCTCGAGCCATATCTGGCTTTCGCTGTCCTCACCCTCTGGCTTATGCGTGAGATCGAAGGCTCTACGGCGAAGCTCGGTGCCGCATCGTTTGCTCCTGGCCCTCGCGGTTGCTGCGGGACAGCAACGCTCGACCTGCCAGTTTCGAAGAGCGACCAGAGCGCGCTGGGGAAACAGCGCACGCACGGGTGCGCTTGCCCAGCGGCATGCCCAGTGCTGCATTTGCGGCGTGCTGTGGCTGCGGCGGCGACTGCTGGGTCCGCACGGGCCGAGGGTGCCCGATGCGATTGGCCATTGTTCCCCACGGCTGGCGGCGCCCATCCTTCCATGGCGGGCATGGTTCGGGCGTTTACCAGGGTCGTCGGCGCTGCCGGGCTGGAGGTGGTCCCCACGGGCCACTCCCCGCGGGTTTCTGGCGCTATCAGGATGGCCATGTCTGGGATGGAGATATGGAAGATACAGCTTTTCGGCCGGTGGGGCTCCTCTGCTATACTGTCGCACATACGGGAGAGCCCCTTGGCAGCCTCAGCTGCTTGGGCCCGGCAGACGGCAGAAGGCTTGGAGCTGAAAGAGGCGGCGCAGGAAATTCAGGCCAAACGCAAAGTACCGGCCATGTCTGAGGAGCAGGAACGCGCTGTCGCGGGTGCTGCGCGAGCTGCATTAGAGGAGAGGGCGGCGTCCACCTCGACAGCCGTGGCCACCCTGCAGGAGGAGCACAGCCGCCTGTCGTCGAGAGTGGACGAGATACTGAAGGAGCACACGGCGAAGCTGGCCGGCGGCATCGCGTTCATCAAGTGCACGACCAAGCGTGGCGGCCGCCGAGAGGGACAGGCGCACTTGGCCTCGGATCCCTGCGTTGCCTTCTGCGGCTGGTGGCACCGAGGCAACGGCCAAGCTCGACAGATGAGCTGCTCTGAGGAGCCAGGCGATCTGTGCAAGCATTGCGTGAAACGGGCGCCCCCTTCGGCGGAGGTGGCGGCATGGGCCAGAGCGATGGGTTGCCCCCCTCCGGCCGCCTCGCGTCCGCCCAGAGAGATGGGCTAGGACGGTCCCCCTCTAGATGGGGTGATGACCAGGAGGCTGGTGCCGCGCCAGCGGTGCTCTGCCGCCAACGAAGGGATGGGCGGCGTGGGCCCGATGGAAAAATAGCGCTGCGATGTTGTCGTAGAAAACAGCATGTTTGAAGGGACAACGGAGCGAGCGAAGCAGTTACCAGGGTGGTTGGGTGGGTGTGGATCCGTGGGCATTTTGGCTTGAGCCCACAGCGATCCCCACCCAACCCACCCTGATGGGCCGGAGCGATGGGTTGCTCCCCTCCGGCCGCCTCGTGTCCGCCAGCGATGGGCTAGGACGGTCCCCCTCTAGATGGGGTGATGACCAGGAGGCTGGTGCCGCGCCAGCGGTGCTCTGTCGCCAACGAAGGGATGGGCGGTGTGGGCCCGATGGAAAAATAGCGCTGCGATGTTGTCGGTGATGATGGTGATGACGGTGGTGGTGATGATGGTGGTGGTGATGGTGGTGGTGGTTATGGTGATGAGGATCAGGATCCGGATCAGGATGAGGAGGAGGAGGAGGATGGTGATGATGGTGGTGGTGATGATGATGATGACTGGAGGAGGCAGGGGGGGTTGCGGTGGTGATGGCCATGGCCATGGTCATGGTCATGGTCATGGTCATGGTCATGGTCATGTTGATGACGGTGATGATGGTGAGTATGGTGATGATGATGATGATGGTGGTGATGGTGATGGTGATGGTGATGGTGATGGTGATGGTGACGGTGATGGTGGTGGTGGTGCGGTGGTGATGGTGATGGTAATGAGGATCAGGACCGGGGCCAGGATGAGGATGATGAGGATGATGATGAGGAGGAGGAGGATCATGGTGGTGATGATGAGGATGACGGTGGAGGGAGGAGGGGTATCGGGAGGAGTGGAGCGCGGCGTTGCGGATGCAAAATGAGGACACAATCCACAGGATGTTTTGGAACAAGGTACCAGTGTTCAAGTGAAAATTCAGTGAAAGCTATCTTGGCGAAGGACCCAAACATATGCAGTTGTGAGTAACGCCTTGTGGGTGCCGCTTTCGGTGGAGCTCCCTATGGGACCACGAAACGCGTGAGGAACGTGCCGCAATGGGTGGGGGAGACGCATGCGGGCGGTGCCATTGGGGCCTTCGGTGGGGCTCCCTATGGGCCACGAAACGCTGTACTGGGTGTGGCGGACGCGTGCGGGCGGTGCCCCTCGCTGGAGCTCCCGATGAGGCCACGAAACGTTGTGCTGGTTGGGGGAAACGCATGCGGGCGGTGCCGCTGGGGTCTTTCTGTGGAGCTCCCTACGGGGCCACGAAATGCTGCACTGGGTGGTGGCCAACGCATGCGGGCGGTGCCACTGGGACATTCGGTGGAGCTCACTATGGGCCCACGAAACGCTGCACTGGGTGTGGCGGACGCATGCGCGGGCCAATGGAGCCCCTTACGGGGCCACGAAACGTTGTACCAGTTGGGGGGGACGCATGCGGGCGGTACCATTGGGGATTGGTGGAGTTCCCCATCAATGGGGCCACGAAGTGCAATATTGGGTGGTGGACGACGCATGTGGGCGGTGCCATTGTGGCCTTCGGTGGAGCTCCCTATGGGGCCACGAAACGCTGTACTTGTGGCGGACGCATGTGGCCACCTCAACTGGGACCGCAGGTGGAGCGCCTTATGGGGCGACGAACGCTGTACTGGGTGTGCCGACGCATGTGCCCCCCCCCCCCCCCCCTTGGGGCCTTGGGTGGAGCCCCCTTATGGGGCCACGAAACGCTGTATTGGGTGTGGCGGACGCATGTGGCCACCTCCACTGGGGCCTTACGTGGAGCTCCCTATGTGGAAACGCTGTATTGGGTGCGGCGGACGCGTGTGGCCACCCCCACTGGAGCCTTACGTGGAGCTCCCTGTGGGGCCACGAAACGCTGTACTGGGCGTGGCGGACGCATGTGGCCACCTCCATTGGGGCCTTGGGTGGAGCTCCCTATGGGGCCTCGAAACGCTACACTGGGTGTGATGGTGGTGATGATTATGCTGCTGATGGTGATGATGGTGATGATGATGAAGATGATCATGGTGATGATGATGATGATGAGGAGGAGGAGGAGGAGGAGGAGGAGGAGGATGAGGATGATGGTGATGGTGATGGTGATGGTGATGATGATGGTGGTGATGATGATGATCATGGGAGGAGGGGGGAGGAGGGAGGCGGGAGGAGGAGAACGCGGGGCGCCGTCTCTTCAAAACGAGGACCCCACACCTCAGGATGGTTGGGAACAAATGTTGTGATATGTTGGGGGCGGTCCAGGTGTAGAGCGTATTGATTGTGGCCCGTTGTCAAAAGTAATCCAGCGGGCTAGGAATCTCCAGACCCCTCGAGGCACGTTTGGATTGTACTGTTGATTGTAAGAAGCGTGGGGCGGGGAATCAGCAGTAGTTGTCTGATATAACCCACAGAGTTGGATGCACTGGCGCGTCTGCATACTTTCTGGCCCCACCATGGCCAACAGCGGATAGTCGAATCGTGCAGCAGGCGCAGCTGACACGCGGTGACCAGTATGATGGCTCTTGCCTTTGTGGTCAACGGGCTAGAGATTGGCACAGCCCAGCTGGAGATCATGAAGTCAGGCCTTCGAGGCAATGTTCCACAATCGATGCGGTTATGCAACCAAGAGTTAGACCTCGAGGAAAAAAAACTAACATACATTTTCGGAGCTCCGCGCGAAGCTCACAAAGACTGTGTGGGTAGGCCGTTGCCTCTTCCTCCACGACTGTGGTTTTCGAGGTTGAGTTCTCGGTCTCCACTGGCGGTGGTACGAGTCCGCTTCTGCTCGGGCGATAGCTCCGTTGTTGAGCAGAGGGTTGTCGATCCGCCTGCCGGCGCCCCCGACGCCAATGCCGACGCCAATGCCGACGCCGACGCCGACGCCGACGCCGACGCCGACGCCGACGCCGCTGCCGCTGCCGACGCCGCTGCCGCTGCCGACGCCGACGCCGACGCCGACGCCGACGCCGACGCCGACGCCGACGCCGACGCCGACGCCGACGACGCCGACGACAACGACGACGACGCCGACGACGACGACGACGACGACGACGGCGACGGCGACGACGGCGACGGCGACGACGACGACGACGACGACGGCGACGGCGACGGCGACGGCGACGACGACGCCGCCGCCACCGACGGCCTCCGAGGGCCGCCGAGGGCGTCCGAGGGGCCTCCGAGAGCCGGCAGCGGCGGCGGCCGTCTGACGCCAGGTGTTCCCAGGCCTCCCATGCGGCGCGGTCTGCCTGGGCTCCTCGCAGGCCCTGGGCGAGGCGCTCACTCGCGCGCCCGCCACAGGGGCAGCGTTAGGGAGGGGGGTCGAAGTGGTTAGAGGTTTCCGAGTGTTTTCGTCCGGCCCTGGACGTTTTCCAGCCTCGGGGTGCCTTCCAGCGGTTGCGCCTCACCGCGAGGCGTCCGGGGGGGCCCGGATCGTCCGTGATCGTTCGTGAGAACAGTGGGTTTCCTCCCGCCTCGTAGCCTCTCCTTTGCTTGTCCTCTCCCGCTGCCGTGTCTCTCAAGGCTCTGAGGAACCGCTTGCATTTTGGGGTGGGCGGGCGGGGCCATAGCACGGGCACGCTGAGGAGTGCTGGGTAGTGGCTGGGCCAGGTCCCCCCTCCAGTGCGGGCGGGGGCTCCGGAGGGGAGCCCCGCGGCCCGCAGCAGAGTGAGGCCTCCAGGTCCACCCTTGTCGGCGCGCCCGATCTGGCGCAGCGGCGGGGAGACATGAGGGCGTTCCACAGTATCGAGTGCACGCTCGCGCTTGCCGTCGGGGCGCTGGTCACCTGGCTGGATTCGTCTTTCGGCGTGAGCTGCATGTTATGCAACTGTGCACGCGACGGCCACCATGGCGAGCCCCGAGGAGGGCGGCCATGAACGGGCACACCCTGACGAGGAGGGTGCCCAACACGAGCAGCAGGCTTCGCCGGGATATGCGCACGGAGCTGACTGCAGTGCCACGGACAGTGACGAGCTGCCAGCGGTGGGGGCGCCAGTCAGGCCACTTCCAGCAGCGGCGCTCCCTGCACCGATCGAGCCCTTGGTCACGGACCCGCCGCCAGCCATGGCCGGTCTGGACGAGCGCTCTGCTGACAGCAGCGGGGGAGACCAGGAGTACCCCCGCTACTACGGCTACTACTACGCCGACGACCTCCCAGCGGAGGCGAGGCCGGGGCCCCTTCGAGGAGCTCCTTGGCGGAGGAGGAGACGGAGACGCCCAGGAGGCGGGCTCCGACCCGGGATGAGGTCAGGCGGGGGGGCCAGGCTGAGGAGGTGCGCGCCGCAGAGGAGAGCCCCCCCCCGCCCCCGCCGGGGTCTGGTGGTGTCGTCAACGCCGCCGCGGACGACAAGGCACCGCCGCCTCAGGATGCTCATCCACGCGACGCTGAGCCGAGGCTGCCACTCTTTCTCCAGGGAGAGAGTCAGCGCGGGAGTCGAAGCGGCGCTGAAGTGGCTGGGAGAGAGGACGGGCTACGCTTTGGGCGCTCTCCTCCACCAGCTCGTCGCCTTCATCATGGGTCTTGTGGATTCCATGGGCCGCTACATGCTCGGCGCCTACTGGGCCAAGCTGCAGTGGGCTGCTATAGCCATGGTGGTGGTCGTGGTCGGCACCGTGCTGGGGTCCACCGTGGGCGTTGTGTTCTGGTTCGTGGGCACGGCATGGAGATACTTGGCCCTGCTGTTCTCCACGATGATGGGGCTTTGCGCAGGGCAGCAAGTCGGGGCACGACGTGAAGCTGGCGCTGGGCGGCAACACAGCCGCAGCGCTCACCTGGCATGGCAGTGCCGAGGCCCTCGGGATTGGCGATGACTACATCAAGACCGAGGTCCGAGGCCGAGGAGGAGGGGCAGAGAAGATGATGCCCAACGACCTCATCGTCCGTTCGGGAGGCTCCGTGGCTAGACTCGAGCAGGGTCCACTCAAGGGCGGCCGGCTCACTCGCCACGGGTATGTCTACAAGTTCCGGGACGTGAAAGGGAGTTCGCATCGGCGCTTGAAGGCGGATCTGGAGGCTGCCCGTGACGACGACGGTATCGGGATGGTCCACCTGTGCGCCACTACTCCGTGCACGCTTCCCCTTGGGGACAAGGCGATGGTGCATATTTGCTCGTCGTGCGTCGCGCCCCACAGCTCCCCGATCAACGCGGCGGACCTGGCCAAGCTCGCCCCCGCAGGCCGGGCCCGCGCAGGCGGGAGGCTTTGCTGTGCTTGGGCGGGTCGAGGCGTGGGAAGGCCATGGGGCGTCTACTCAGGTGCTGTGCCCGCAAGAGGATGAGACACCCCAAGCCGGGGCACCCCACCAGCAAGGCGGAGGAGATGGACCCCAACTCGGAGACAGAGTCGGAGCCCAGCGTTGACGTCTGCCAGGCCGATCAAGTGGCCTACCTCGCCGAGGGCAGCACGCAGGTCTTGAGCGCTCAGTGCTGCACGGACACTGCCAGGCAGAGTCCAGTCTTCCTCCTGGTGGAGGATGCTGCTATCTCGGACACTCGCGACCTGCAGGAGGAGGCCGGCACTTGGACTTTCCGCGCGTGCGTGCATCACGCGGGCGCCTACGACAGCCAGGCAGCTCGGCGGAAGTGCGCGCGCTCACAGTGTCACCGCGCCCATGTGATCGAGAAGGACGGCTTCCCGCTGTGCACGGCTCACGCGGCTGACCGCGCGGTGGGCCGGCGGGGCCGGTCCGCGACTCCCCATCGAGATGGCGAGGGCGGCGACCAGCGCCCAGGAGGCGCGAGGCCAGAGAGGAGAAGTGAGGAGCGCGCGGCTCGTCGCGCGCCGGTAGCCGCCAGCCGCAAGGGCAGCCCAGCCAAGGCCGAGGCGGACGCGGTCTGGCTCATCCACGTTCGTGACCCTCTGGCGCTGGAGGGATCGGAGTGGGATGCATACTACAGCTTCCCCGCCCGCTTCATCGGCCCGACGAAGAACGGCAAGAGCGACGACCCACGTACGGACGTGGAGGCGATGGGCTTGGGGCTGACCTTCTCCGTCTCGGACGGGGCCTTCGCCCCCCCGGGCCCGAGCGGCTCGACGAGTTCGTGGAGGCGCAGCCGCCCGCGATTTGCTGGCGCGCTGGCGCAGCGCTGCGGCTGTCGGACCACGGGGGCGGCGCGAACTGTCGCGGCGACTCCTTGAGCCCCGCGTCAGCCATCGCCCTGAGCAAGGACCGCAGTCGGCACCTCATGGCCAAGCGGGCCGGGTCGCGGAGTCGCAGCACTACTCCTACTCGTCGGGATACACACGACGATTTCGACGCGAAGCTACGCAGAGCCCAAGCACAGGACGAGGAGCAGAAGTGCCAGGACCCGAGGCTAACCCTCGTTGCAGCCTACCTCACCAAGCGCGCCGACGGCCTCACAGACAGCGCAGCCAGAGGAGTCATCTCAGCGGAGAGCGGGATGGGCAAGCATGAGCTGCTGGCGGAGCTGATCGAGGCGGCGGACACGCTGCAGGAGGGAGTGAGCGAGGTTGGCGTCAGTCTCCTTCGAGGGTGCCGCGACCTTTGGAGTCGAGAGTTGGAAGGCGGCGAGGGTAGCCCGCACCCAGGAGCAGCGGACGGGCCGCCACTCCCTCCTCCAGCACACGCTCCACCTGATGGTCACGAAGCGGCAGGAGGAGGCTCGAGGCCGGCAGCCTTGGCGCGGGCTCCTCCCGGAGGCCAGGCGGGTTCGACGCTGCCCCCACCGGGGCTGGGGTTTCTCGGCTTCGGGCAGAGGCCGCCCGCGGGAGGCGCGGCCAGGTTTCAACCCGAGCGCGTCCTACGGATCCGGGGGGGCTAGCTCGACTACACCCTGGGCGGCTCCACCGCCCACGTCGCCCTCCTTTGTGGAGATGGCGACTCGCCCTAGGGAGTGGCACGCTGGCGCGCCCTCCCTGCCGCAGGAGGAAAAGGTGCCGGCGGCGCCCACGGCGGAGTCCGAAGTTGGCATCGGCCTGCAGAACCTCGCGCGCGAGCTGGGGAGAGCCAACAAGCACGCGGAGGAGGCAGGCGGCGCAGCCAAGGGCACGCTGGCCAGTATTGGGCGCGCAGAGGAGCAGCTAGTATTCATGGCCAGGGGATGCGATTACTACACGGTCACGTTGTGCCCAGGACTGCTCGGCAAGGATGCTTTCCACGCGTTGGGGTCCGTGGGTCAGAACTCCAGGCCACTCTTCAGGTCCATGGAGTTCCCCACCAACATCACCAATAGTATCGCGCACGGCTTCGCGGCGTTCCAGCACGGGGGGCGTGATCACCTGCACCTGCCGGACTACTGCCTCAGCTGCGCGAACTTCCCGAGGACGACAGAGGCGGACATGGATGGTTACGTGCCCCCGAAGGACTACAAGTTAGAGACACGCCCGAGGCACGCGTCCACCCCCCAGCACTGGTTCAGGATGCCACGCGCGAGTCGCGGGCGTGGGCTTGCTTCTACGGCCAGGAGCAATACGACCAGCAGATCAAGGCCGCCGAGCACCTGCTCAGCCTCAACGACGAGGCAGAGTACGCATGGCCCCCCAACGTCATCTTTGGCATATGGGCGGAGCTGCGCGGCCGCTGGTGCGAGGAGCTGCGGATGAAGAGGGCGCGCATGCTGGAGCTCATGGGCGATGAAAACCCGACATGGGACCGCATCAAGTTCGTGTGCACGTCCCCTACCAGCAGCGAGGACCCGCGACCGTGGTTGCGCATGCCGCGCACCTACTTCCTGGACGAGCCTGACCAGTACTGCATGACGGACATCATGGTCAGGCACCACAACAAGCTGGCGAGGTCGCAGTGGCAAGCGGCTTTCCGCTCTAATGCGGCCCCCCCTCCAGCCCATCCAGCCCAGGTCCGGGCCCAAAGCGGGCAAGGCGGGTTCAGGGGGCTCCGACGCCGGGGGATCGGCGGGGGGGGCCGCAGGAGGTCGCGGGGGCGCGGGTCTGCTCGGGCATGCTCTCTCGCGCAAGGAGTACGGCCGCAGTCTCGACCACCGCCCCAAGTCTCCAGCGAGCGGTCGCATCATCTGCTGGGACAAGTCCAGCTGGAAGGGGCGTCACAACTCCTCGTGCCCACACTCGCACAAGCCGATCGGCAAGGTCGGCCTGTTGGACCGCTCCGTGCAGATGCAGCTGATCAAGCGGGGGGGCCCCAAGGGAGGTCCCAAGGTGGGCACGCACGAGGATGCGAACAAGAAGATCGAGGCGCTCAGGCAAGCACAAGAGGCTGAGGATGCGTCCAAGAAAGCTGGCGAGGCGGGCGCACAGGCGCCCGCCCCAGCGGGCGGCGGCAAGGGGGCTCACGGCGGGAAGG